CTAGAGAAGAATGAAAGGACCCAGCATGAAAAATAGAATGCAATTATCACCAACTGAACAGCTGATAAATGAAATGTCAGAGTGAAACACAGGAGTTTCACATGACAGAAAGTTCAGAGAAGGTGAATTCGTTACGAATTTTGAACAAATGAAAAGTGGAGACCTCACCACAAGCAAAGCCTCTCATCTCCCCACCACTGAAAGTTCCCTGCTCCCACCATAATCCATCTGCCATCCCATCACAGAGAGCTACAACAGCCAATATGCAGCAGCAGAGTTGTTTGGATGTAACAGAGAGGATTGTGTCCAAAATGAAGAGCAGCACTGGTTTGGAGCTTCACACACTTATGGGATGATGTTTCCATGTTGTCCCACTTATTTGAAGTTTCCAAGGGGAGCCATCACACCAGCATGAATTCAGCAAACACAGCCTTTTGTGAGCTAAACTGACAAGGACAGTATTTTTAACACACCTGTGATGGGCAGATTTCAGAGACAAGCATAAGTGGAAGAGACTTTTGCAAGCTAGTGAAAAATGGGAATTGCCCTCTGGAAAGAACTGCATACAAGGGACATGGAATAAATACTTTTATGTTATTGTTTCTTAGTCTGTCAGTGGTTCCATTTTGAATCAGCCTTCAGTCCTTTAAACCTCAGATGGGAAAGCCTGGTTGGACCTGACAAACGAGCAAGCCAGGTCTTGGGTCAAGAAGAGTCTTATTTCCTTACACCCCAACCCAAACACATCCTGAGTTCAGTATCTTCAGCTTCTTTTGAGATAGAGCTAAAACTCTTGGATTTTGAATCTTTCTATTGTTTATATGTAATTGCAGTTACCCTGTTCCTCTACTTCTTCCTTGTTTTAGCACTATAATTCCATGATTCCTGCAACCCTGATGGAGAAGGCAGCTGAGAGCACACACAGCCCAGTGCCTCTGTCCCCAGTGCTTCTCCAAACTCTAAATACAAATAAATTGATACAGCAGTTGAAGTTTGGCAAACCTGTTCAGGAATGCACAGAGGAAACACAGTATAGAAATGTAAAATCATTAAAAGAATGTTATTATGGTTATTATCTTAAAAATGCATTTAAGCCAAGAGCCCCTCCCTGCAGGTACCTCACTTGATCTACAGCACACATGGATCCCACCAGACTCCTGCCAACATTTTCTGTTCCTTCCTTGTTCTACCTGCCAAGTTGTTCTAGTTACAGGGGCTGGGACCAGTTTATCACTATGTGGGTATAACCAAAACTGTGTATTCTACACCCTCTATGTCATTTCTGATGGACTGTTAATAAATGCATTGTTTGCAGCAGCTGCCCAGGGCACACCTGACACCTCAGGCTACAAGCTGGGTGTTAAAGAACCCTGTGAGGCAGGGCAGTGTTCTTTTGTTTTCACACCAATGTCTCAGCTGTGATAACTCCCCTCCAGGGAGGCATCAGCACCTTCACACCCAGCCTGAGGGGTCATCTCTGCTCATGGGCCACCTTGGACCGGCACAATAGGCAGCTGCAACAGCTAGACCATCAAAGATTCCGAAAATATCCCATGATTCAGAGTTAAATCACCCACCATGAAACTCCCTGGCCCGGGGGAGGTGCTGGACATCCCCACCTGAACTTGAGCATATATAAACTTTGGGGTTTGGGGACTTCTGGCACCACTCCTCGGATCCAGAGGAGGACCAGAACTCCACCAGGACTGCCACTGCCACTCTGGACAAGACTGTGACCATCACTCCAACAGGACTGTGACCATCATCTGGACCAACAGGTTTCCTTTCCTGTTCCTTTGCACCCAGGGGGGCCACGTGGTGCTCAGCACAGGGGCTAATGAACACCCTTCTGGTCTTGTCCCAGGGTGTGGGGTTATACATCTGCCTCTGGGGGTTAAAACCAGTTTTTTATCTGTATCATTGCATTTATTGTAATCTTTTTAGTAAATTGTAACTCTGACTTGTAATCTCTCTTGAGCTGGCTTCATTTCTCCTGCCAGTTTACTTTTAAACCAGCACACAAGTCAAAAAGAAGCAACAAAGGCTGGTGTTGTTCCTGGGAAAAAAATGAGTTCTGGAGGAATAGTGGGCAGTTTCCTTTCATGCACACACAGGCTTGTGTTCTACACAGCAAGTTAACCCATGTAAACATGTTGTAGTGCACTGTCTTTTCAATGGAAAGCATCCCACAGAATGTGTGTGGGTTCTGCACATGGGAAAGGAGGCTGGGAAGGGTTTCAGAAGAATCCCCTCCAATGGTAACTTGCTGTGTGGCTGCAGAGCCAGGAGGACTCTGCTGCACAGAGGTGTGTGAGCTGCCCACGGCCTTCCATTGTTACTGGGAAGGTGGTGACTTCCTGTGCATTGAATCTTTGCCCTTATTTTGCTCTTCCTTCCTGATGATAAATCCACCTTTTATTATTCTGACCAATTCAACATTACTTTTAGAAATTTTATCACTCATTTAGATTTCACCCAGTGAGTCAGGCGGAAAAAATGTGCTCTCAAGCTGAGAGACAACCCTCCCATTTAAAATCCCTCAGCCAAGAGCACCTCCCAGGCAACATCCTCCAGCTGTTCTCAGAGACAGAAGGAGTATGTTCACCCTCTCAGTTCCCACCTAGGCCACTCTGGAGCATCTCCAGCAGGAAGGACATCTATCTGCCCAAAACAGCAACCCCTGGCTCTTCCCAGGCCTCCTCCCACTCGGCTCACCCAGCACTTCCCTCAACCACACAGACCTCTTGATGTTCAGCAGATTTAAGATCTTCCTGTGCCAGCAGAGAAATCTATCAAGTAGCATTGTTATCCCTGTTCCTGGGCCTCTGATTGTCACTTTTATCAGCTAAATAATAGTAATTTGGATGTAGAAACAATTATGGGAACCTTTTTCCTCAGCAGAAGCCATTAGCCCCAGCAGATTTACAGTTAGTGCTCTTTGGACAAAGGCTGGATGCATACAGAAGCTGCTCTGCCAGGCAGTGATATACAAGGGAACAAAGAAAACATCACCTTCCAGCTTTCTAAAACTGTTTCCTCAAAAATGATGGTGGTTGCAACCTGTTTGTGTCTTCTCCTGACCTGCTGCATAATGACAAGCCAAGGTGGTGCATTTTCCTTAGAAAGGATGGGTAAGAGTTTGTGACTAGTATTGCTTTTTAACTTGTGCTGCTCATATTTCTGGCTCCAAAGTGCCCTAGAGAAACCTAAAATCCCATTGAAGTGCCCCAGCTCCACAGCTTTTGCAAAACAAACTGGAACTGCCTTTTTCTTGTTCTCATTAGACACGTCAATGAATCAGAGATCTGTAAGGAAATGTGCACACGTTCAAAGAGAAAGGACTGCAGGGGCACAGAGAACAACAGAAAAAACATTAACAAGAGCACAGTAAACCTGAAAACCTCAAAGAAGAAAAACATTTTTCTTATAAGCCCTTTTTGAGCTTCATTTGTCACCACTGCAGACAGATGGAATCTGCAAGCCCTCCCTTCCTGCCAGTGTAGCAGGAGACACTACCATGGCATACAAGCAACTCTGGCAACAAAGCAGACAACTCCTGGAGATGGGAAGTCAATTAGGGAAGAACCCCAACAGCCTACTATCTGATGGATGCACTGGCTGAGCTGAAAGTGGTTGGGAGGCTCCTAAGGGCTGGCCTGACTGTCCTCTCACAAGAGACACAGGAGCCTTAGTGTGGATCTCAGATAGGAACTGCTACATTAATGCTGATCATTTTCTAAAATCTTGCCCTTAACCTCACAGAAATTAGGAGAGAATCCTTCTAGGGCACTGACTGTTCTCACACTGAAGTTTTAACACAGCCTATGATACGTGGGTGGAATAACTACCTGACCTGGACTGACAAAGGAGAACAGGTATATTTACAAGGTTCAGAAATGCAGGATTAATTTTTCTACCAAAAGTCACATAAAACTACTGTCAGATCTGTTTGCTCTCCTCTCAAGAACAGAATATGAAAGAACCAATTTGAACAAAACCACCACACATTTCAGATTTACCTCTGTTTTATTCATGCCAACTGAAAGAAACACGGTGATGTGTCATTTTTGACACCTCTTACTGTTTCCCATCAGTGTAACCAAACTGAGGCAAATTCTATTGTACACAGGGTCAGTCAGGCTTTGAGAAGGGTACAAACACCTTCTTTCACTCTTTTGTCTCAAAAGATATTGAAACATCATCTCAGTGGAGTATTAAAGGTGTAGCAATTCCCCCCTATCCTTCCTAAACCTTTTGGTTTTAGGGGTTGGCTCCACTTCACCAACTGCTGCAAAGGGACAGAGCCTACACCAGGATAGTGATGAGGAGCTGGGGGTCTTTTTACTACCATTTTGACTTTAAAAAGTAGCACAGTTCTGTATTTCTGACTAGTACACTGACCTGGGGAAGGCAGGTCTCAAGTACAGAGGTATTTCAGATGTTTAACACCACTTATGAATGATAGACAGGGAACAATATAAGCAAGTAAGAACTTGATAAGCAAAGAAAAGAAGCAAATGGCAAAAGAAGAGTTTTTTTGAGGAACTATTGATGTCTAGCAGAAATGAGCAACCTTCCTAGTGTACCATATGTGTCTTTCCATACAGTGCAGAAGTCACATGAAGTACTTACCTTATAACTAAAATCAGGGACAGAGCTGCTTCTACAACCTGTTCCAAACTGCAGTTTTGCTGGGCATTGGGTGGAAAGACAGCTACCAACGGAGAAAAATCCAAATCTACAAAATCTGATTTTGTTTTTCAGTGAAGAGATGGGATGAACCCTCAGGAAAAAATTACAACTACTGAGTAAACCACCAGATACTAAAATTCAAACTTTCTGCTAATGAACAAAGCTTACACATTCACATGCTCAGCCAATGTTTGACCCCTGTGAGATTGCTCTATTTAAACTCTGGTAGTAGTAGAACAAAATCCTTTATAATGCACACAAATGGTTCTGTATTAGGGAAATAAAAAGATGTCAGGAAGATGGGTTACCGCTCAAGTCTGAGGCTTTTCATCCATTCCAGTGTCAACGGTTGGCTTGGCAACACCTCCTGCAGCCACTGGTAATAAATCCCACTGAAAACTTCAAAACTTCCTATTTCTCCAGACAAATTCGCTTCACCCCCTTCTCTTCATGACTGCTGGTCAGGACAGCAACATTTTCTGTGAAGGACAGAAAATAAGGTTATTTCCAACAAATTTCAAATCTGATTTGTTGTTAATTTTCCTTCTTCAGTGACTTCCTGATCTCTGAAATGCTGCAAGAGCCATGTCAAAGGACACTTGAATTCTTTTCAGAATTCTGGCTGCATAGCTGGCACCAGACTTTTGTCTTCCTTAACATTCCCGTTTGTTTTCTGCCCCCCAGGAGCATACTGCTGCAGTCTTCCTTTAATTTTATCTGCTCAGCAGCCACACTGCAGCTCTGCAATGGAAGCACAGGTTGGAGGCACACGCTGAGGAACAGCCTGTAGAAGCCAGCTGGAATAATCAGGGACTTTTCCTAAGGAAAGGAGCAGCTAATCTTACTAATTTTCTTAATTTTTAATTACACCTTCGAAACAAAATATAAAGAATGAGCTAGGAAATAACCTGACAACTAGCTCTGTACATTACCTGTTTTAACAGAACAAAAGCACAGGTTTATGTTACTTGTGTTCACACATTAGCAGGTTATGGTGGTTAGGCCAGTAAGTTACTCAAATCATCTTCACCTTAACCCAGCACTCCTGAGCAGGCAGAGACATTTCCAGGCTCGTCTCCCAGCAGAGCAGCATTTGCTGTTTTTCTGAGAGTGTCAAGGCTGTGCCTGAAAGCTCCCAGAGCTGTCTGGAGTTATGCAAGGAGACAGCACTGTCTAGTTCTTTTGGGCTTTTATTTGTGGGGTGGTTTGGTTTTTTTTTCCTCCTCCTCATCTCTTCCCCTCTGGTATTCTGCTTCTGTGACTTCAAGTGTGAACACATTTGTGTATGACAAATTTGGCAGAAAGAAAAGCAAACTCAAATTATTTATATTATGAAAGCCACAGATAACAAGGAGCAAAGCACTCAGACTTCTGTGCAAAGCAACCACAGCTTGGTGAGCCTGCACAGACTGAGCACCAGGACAAGCAAAGCCATCAACTGCTGAACAGCATAAGCAAAATGCCCTGACAACGATTACCATAACAAAAAACATTTTTGAGGACCTCTGAAAGGAAGATACTGAAATAGCTCTGCAGATGAGTAGCAACAGGTGAGATGAATATGAACCATCCTAACAGAAAACACACATTATGTGCTTGAAAGTGTACTTAGGGAGAAGGGTGAATGCCCTCCTACTGGAGGTAGATAAAGCAAGAGCCAATAAATTAGCCTTAAACTTGAACTTATGGTTCATCATCTAAATGGAGATATTAGAGATGAGTCAAAAGAAGATTGAATCATCTTCTCCCAACCTGAATATTACCAAAGAGTTTGTTTTTGCAGATAGGATTAGCTAGAAATACAAGGTAGGGGAAGAAAAGGAAGGGGAACAGGGCCCTGTAAATCCTCCAGAAGGAATGGAGAGACAACACCACAGTCCTTCGTAGTTTTGTGAACCTCACTTGGCAGCAAAATTTTTTTGCCTATTATTGAGTTTTTTGAAATAAGAAAAAACAGCCCTGAAGAACAAAGAAATGAGCAAATGTTTCACAGCAGGGAACATCTGCATTTAAAGATTATTTAAAGTCCCTCCATAAGGTGACACGTTTGTGTAAAATTTTAACCCCTTCCAAACTGCCTTTTTTTCCTGGCTAGAAGGGCAGGGGGCTGGGACCTTTGTGGATTCAGGCAGCAGGCTCCAGCTAAAGCAGCTGCCTGGGGAGGGGCTGGATTTCTCCTCCTTTAGTGCTTGAGGTGGCCCCATCTCCACCAGCCTGTGGGATCTGCTCCCAAATCATGGGCACCTCTGGGCACGTCCCTACAGAACACCAAATCAGGGAAACATTGACAGAGCTGCATCCACAGAATAAAATATCAACACTTATGCACATTTTTTAATTTTGGCTGCATGCAGGCATTTGTACTTCTGTCCCAGAATTCTGCAGGCTCTGCCCAGCAGGAGCAAAGGTGTCTGCTTGCCATTTGCCTTTCCTTGCAGAGCTGCACTCCAACAGCTCTGGCACAGCTGGGGATGGCAGAGATTCACTGCCACAGTGTTATATAAATCTGGTGTTCCTACGGCTTGTGAGGATCATTGAGGTGTTCTTTAAAACTGCCATCACATTATATTTTGTAGGTAACACAGAAAACATTTTATCTCCAACATAAGCATATTGCATGTTAAATGGTAGCTAAGGCAACAGGTGGTACAGAGATCATATATATGGGTGTCATTGTATTCACAAGCAGCACACTGACTTAAAAAAATGCAATTTACCACTCAAAATGAAAAGAATTAAACCACTCTACATTCACTTCTGTTCCAGTGCCCAGTACTACAGATTAATTTACAACATTTTAAGTTAATTGATGAATGTGACATGAAATCCTTCCTTTTAGCTGCTGCTCTGATTAGACAATTAACATTAAATGAAGATGTAGGTAAATCCCTCCATTTTTCCCTTGGCTTTCTGCAGAGACTGAAGGCAGTAGAAGCCCAGTATGAAAAGAGCTGCCATGTGACTCAGTCCCCTTCAAGCTGTCCTCACAAAACAAAGAGCGAGGAATGCTAAACAAATGAATCACAAGCCATTGCTGCAAAACATCCCGACTTTCTAGCAACTGCCAAGGCTGGGAGCAGCTCCCTCTGTCTTGTCAGTCTGAGTGACAGCCCGGGAGAAAGGGGCACCTCATTACAAGATTAGTAACACGAAGGCTATGTTTCAAACCCCACCATCTGAATTATGATTGCTGACTGTGTAAGGAGGCAGAAACGGAAGCAAATCCACAAGGAAACAAAGCATCATTTGGGAAATGTTTTTCCTATTCATGCTGATTGCAAGTGAGCTCTTCCCGGGCTGTGAACAACTGGCAGTGCTTTAGCATTCAGTACATGGCCTGATTTTTATCATAAAAACTAGTCTTTGCCTTCAGCTGGCTGTCAGATTTGCCAAGCTGGTGGAATTCTGGCAACATTTGTGCTGTTTAATGTCTCAGCATGTTGTATCTTGGACACAGCCCCCTGTAAAAATACCTAATTATAAATATTCATATTAGTTATCCTTTTTGCATGACACAGTAAAGAGAGGGGAAACAGATTCTTTCCAAATTGACTGTATAAGCAGAGCATAACAACATCTCAGGGTCAATATCCACAGCCAAAGCCTTTCATTAAACCATGGGATTTCCTTCAGTGGAATTCCACAGGCCTCCCTCACACAATGGGTGTGTGACAGCTTTGCCAAAGGGTCACCTGGCACAGAAAATACTGCAGCCCAGGATTTCCAGGGGGGATACTGCTGTCAGTTGTTGCTGAACACTAGAGAGGCTGCATTTTTAAGTGGCATCATCCCGTTTTTAATCAGGTAATACTCTGTTTTCAGAGTAATAACTTCTTAAATTCAAAATGGTCTCCTTGGGCAAAAAACTGCTTCAGACAGAATATATCCACTCCTAAAGGAGATTAGGAAAGGGAATGCATCAACAGAGGGAATGTGCAGTCCTTTGCAGGTATGTTTTTAATACAAAGTCATGGGTGTACACAGGAGACTCAGGAAAAGAGTTTAAAACTTCTTTTACTTTTTAAAATATTAAATACATGTTGAATATACTGTTTAAAATAGAACTGATTCACAGGGAGAAAGGAAGTACTTAATGACTTGCTCATGCTTAAGGACTCTCAAAAACAAGTATCTGTTACTCATGCATTTGAAGGATTTGCTACTCCTGAGCTACTGATTTGAAAAGCTTTTGACACAGCAAGATGAAGACACATCCCCAAGGGCTGCCATGCAAGCTGAAAGCCTGTGTGCTCTCAAACACTCTTCCTTTCATGGAAGAACAGAAAGATTAGCATGAGGAGGAAGAAGAAATAAAAACTGGATTGCTTTGGTTCTGGAGATGAGGTGAAAGTGAGGTTTTCTGGCCACAAGAACCAATGACCCCCAAACTGTCACATCAAGAAGAACTGGTGGTTGAGTTTGAGATCACCAGGCCCTCAGCTGCACCTCTCCTACTGCAATTTTTATTGATTAATTTTTGGCCTAATATTACAGCCCTAATAGCACTGAATCAGAGAGGAAAAAGCAGAAAGAAGACAAAGTAGTACAAGTCACCCATCCTTATGAATGAATCGTGTAGTACAAACTTCTCACAAGGGAAAAACCTGGTTTATCAAAGCTTGGCCAAAAGGAACTGTTGGCTCTGGCTGCAGGAGCAGCACCTGTCAATGAAGCAGCAGAAGCCTCCCTCTGCACCATCTTTACTGCTCTGTGCTGTAACAAGAAAATTTTCCCCCCTCAACAGCTTTTACTGGTGTTTTACATTCACAGAAATCCTATTTTCCAGAGGAGGGTTCTGGGCACAGCAACACAAGCTCAGGCAGCATCATGGCCACAGGGATACTGGGAGAAGGAAAAGGCAGCGCTGCAGCAACAGGAAAAACTGAAACCAGCAATAACCCCCCCCAACCCCAAACCCTCAAATGATCTTTTCTGCAGCTTTCTTTCACAAACTAACCCCCAAACTCGCACTGGGATTACAATTTGAATTTCAACCCACTCCCCCACCACACTCCTTTGCTGTGTGCTGAGTTTTATTAGAACCATCTGCGAGATCCTTCCCTTCCAGCTTCTTGTGTCTGTTAATCTGGCAGCTGCACTTTCTCATCTATTCAGAAATCTTTGTTTCAAAGTTGTTGAGACAGAAGGTCTTTGACAGGCTAAAAATTATCTTGAAAATCAATGCAGAAACCACATCATATTCTGTGCTTCACAGATTAAAGGGGAAGAATGGAAGTTGGAGGATATATATATATATCTTTAATGGGAAGATAAATGAGGGTTTTGGGGATCAAGGAAAATTTTACCAATGCAATTTATCTGACAAAAGCCACAATTTACTGAAGTACTGCAAATTGCCACTGCAGGAGAGTTTCAGGTTCATCATTATCACAGACTGACAGAAGCAGAAGAAATGCACAGAAGTATTTCCTTACAGCAGCTCCTGGCAAAAGGTAAGTGGGAGGAGTGCTAAGGGAAG